ACTGCTATTGATAGTCTCACCATTGAATTAAACCTTGTTAAAGAGGAAAAATCTTCTTTAGCTTTCTTTAACGTAGCTGAATAATGATATAGTTGATTGTGAACTAAATTTATTTAATTATAATATTTTTAGATGAGACCGAAATAACACCACTAGTGGCTGTTCTAGAGGAGGAAGGGTCCTTGTTGATATACGTGTTGACCCCCTATCACATCTAATACCTGTAACTTGTTTGGATGTTGAGATTTTGTTTGTGAGCTTCTCTCTCAACAAGAAAAGAGTATATAATTAGCAGTGCTTACCTACCTCCAAACGCTCCTCCTAAATCTTACGAACCTTTATGTCTACTGTTGAGAATCTTCTTTCCATTTATTTTGACCATTTGTTTATTTTCTGTGGTGATTTCAATCTTCCAAATGTTTCTTGGTCCTATGACAACCATGATCTGATTTATTCTTCTACCTCTGACTCTCATATCAATTGTCTTCCGGAAACTTTTGCAGCTGATAACTTCTTTCAGATCAATTATATTTTTAATAAATCTGGGCCATTATTAGATCTTATCATCGTAAATCTTAATCAATATATGGTAAAATCTGCATTTATTTCAGCGGTACCAGAAGACAGCTATCACCCTGCGTTATCTATAGACTTTATTCTAGTCACCAATATACCACAAATTGACTCTCCTCATTGCTACTTCAACTTCCGTAAGGTCAATTATTCTCTTATAAATACATTTTTGCTGTTTTTCAATTGGTTAGTAACATTTTCTAATTTAGATGCTACTTCTGCTTCATATACACTTTTTAATGCGCTGCATTTATCCATTCTGCAACATGATCCTAACGTTAAATATTCCAGGTCTAATTTTCTTTATTGGTTTTATAAAGAACTAATTGATCTAGTATTCCAAAAAAGAAAAGCTCACGCAATCTTTGAATTCACAAACAACCCAAACGATTATCAAAACTTCAGTTTTCTTCGTGCTAAAGATAAATATTTGACTAAGCAACGTTACAAACTTATCATAATTATCAACTCTACTAAAGAATTTTTTTATGCAAATCCACCTAAAATTTAGAATTTTGTTAAAAAGAATAATTTAGGTCAGTCTATTCCAATGACAGTCTTTTTCAATGGTCTAACTAGTAAAAATAATAATGAAGTAGTGGACTTTATCTCTAAACATTTTAATGCTGTATATTCTATGTCATTTGTCAACTATATACCTAAATTAACTCGATCTCTAATTCATGATCTTCCGAGCAACTGTTTCTTTGACATATCAGATATTGAAAGCAATTTATCACGCCTGAAAAGAAATAATTCTATTGGTCAAGATCGTATTTCAGGTGATTTCGTATTCACGATTAGATTGTCTATATGTTTCCCTTTATAGCTTTTATTTCGAAAATCACTTGATTCCGGATCCTATCCTGAAATACTCAAATTTAGTTCCATAACGCTGATATTTAAATCTGGTGATATTTCTAATGTAGCTAACTATAAACCAATAATTATCATCAGTCACATAGGTAAACTGTTTGAATCTTTAGTCTTAAGCTGTATCCGACCTGCAGTAAATCAAATCATAGTGAGTGAGCAACATGGATTTCGCCTTAAACGGTCAGTTAACACATGTAATCTTGTATTCACTGATTATGCGTTTGACGCTTTTGCAAATAAGAATGAAGTTGATGTCATTTACACTGACTTCAGTAAACCTTCTGTTCTTATAAAAATCCTTGCCAGTAGTGTTTTTGGGGAGCCTTTGTTATCATGGTTTAGCTCTCATCTATCCGATCGTAAACAATTCGTGAAAATATTTGGTATTAAATCACAGGTATTAAACACGCCGTCTGAAGTACCTCAAGGTGGCTATCTTTCCCCATTGCTCTTTACATTGTTTATTAATGATATAAAAAAAGTTATACACCGCAGTAAATTCTTACTATTTGCAGATGACTTAAAGCTATTTCTAGAAATTCGCTTTAACTCTCCAACTTGCAACCTTTCAAGAAATTCTGCGATGGCCAAAGTACTGCAGCAGAGTAAATTAATATTTTGGTATAAGTACTCAATGGCACATAAAATATTTTTGGAAGCATTAGATTGAACGTTGCAAGATTTACGAAAGAACCGAAATCGTTGGTGGTGCAATGATTTTATTGGCATGTAATTTTTGCAAAACACTACCAGTAATACCACGATCAACGCCAGCCACCTGCATGGTTACAGTCATACATTTTATAGAAAGACATTAAAATGCTAAAATTAAATATAATCATGCTAGTCGAATTGCAGAACGACCATTCTGGAGAATTTTTTTCCAAAAAAATTCTCGATATCGGTAATGGCAAAATACTTGTTGACTCATCGTCTGGATACTGTATATTATGTTGAGGAATATAAACCAGCCACGTCTTTGTAATAGCACCCCACTTGCGGTTATAATTTTTATGGGAACTTTGTGAAATAAACTAAAGTGAAATTGATTTGTTGTTATTTCACATATTTGATTAATTAACACGGTGTTTATTATAAAATAATCATAATAAAAAAAAATTTATTTGAAATCCAATGGAAACCGTGTTAATTAATCAGATTTGTCAAATAACAACAAATAATTTTCATCTTAATTTATCTTACACAATTCTCATACAAATCGATATGTCACCACATTTTCTGATTCTGGTGACTGGGACGTGAGAAGCCCAAAATTTGTGTCTTATATCGATTCACGAGAAATATTTTCAAACATTTTTTTACAAGTATTTATTTATTTTTAGATTCGAAATAATACTCTGAATATAATTAGATAAAATCAAGGTTTTAAAGATAGAAAAAATATTTTAAAAGATTCTTCATTTGACCACTCTCGAGAGTACGCGTTTATTATTTTCCTCAACCATATCAGAAATACCCTGCATAAATAAACCGGGCTGCAATCCATTTGTATTGGAATAAAAGCGATAATCAACAATTATCTAAAAATAAATTCTACACGTTATATTATTTAGTATAAATTTTTGTACTTTTGAATTTACAGAATACGAAGAATTTATTAAACGACTATCCATAATTCAGATCCCCCAAGAAATTCATGAAACATACATAGAAATGAAGTTTCATTATTGGACGTTGGAGTTTGTATACTTTATGCTATTTTAAATATTTTGTGAATGAATATTAAAATGGGTAATCAAGAAATTATTACTCTCTGCAATTTGAATTAGATACCTAGGTTATATATATATATATTTTTTTACGATTTTACTCATTTATTGCCTAATTCGTGCTATCGCCGATTTACAATTAGTGATAGTTAAATAAATATTTTTTTTTAACTCGCCAAACACCACTTTTTGTAATGTAATATTATAAAATAAATAGGGATATTAACGTGCCGCTTCATTGTAAAGTGGGATTTGAGAAATATGAAATACGCTCTGCGCTAAGAATTGAAGGGGGGCACGGGTCAATTTTTTTGAAAACCCTGAATTTCCGATAAATTGGGACATATACCAACCCTAGATGCATCTATTTCACTCAAAATCAAAATAAATATTTAGCTAATTTTATCATATAGTAATTTGGTAAAATGCTATTCAATAACTATCATAACATCTGTATAAGTTTCTATTTATGTGCAGACCGAGGCAACCTAACGAGTGTCAAGATATGAATTAATACACTTAATTAGAATATAATGTTAATTAAGGAAAAACAAAAAGAGATCTAGTTGTAGCGCGGACGTAAGGGAAGTCGGCGATTGAGAGAGAATGAATGAAATAATAAAAGAGAAGGAAGCCCACGCTAAGCGGTAGGAAGCCAAACTCTCCATGTCAGTACGAGTAACGTGAACCTACTCAGACACGTTTGATTGCTCAAGTCTATCGTATATCTAAATTACATTGATAGCTGACGGTTTGAATGCGTTACGGGTTAAGTACACATTTTCGCCACATTTGTAAAGCGTTAGTAGTATGTAGGATTATATTATTGCAGTAGTTATATGAAAAATTCAAATGATTTGCGAGAAGTTGAGCTTACTAATTTAAAATCAAAAGGAGGATTAACCCATCCAAATTTACATTTATTTCACTTTCTGTACAAAGTAGAAGAGTGCTTAGCAAAACACTGCAAACTAAAAAACGTTTCTATTAATTTTATTTACAGTTGAAGATCCTTTAAATATTTCTATTACGTTTTCATGCTTCGACATTGTTGCTACAGACCTGGAAAACCGGGAAAAGTCAGGGAATTTATAACTAAATCAGAAAAACCGGAAAAAAATTGTAAATTTAATAAACACTATTGTGCATTTCGTGTTTCGCTCAATAATTTAATTTTATGATAAAAATTTAAAAATTCATGAAAAAATAAATAGAACTTGGTATTTTTATAGTCATAAATCAAAAATAAAATGTTAATCAACACTTGGCACTTTTAGTTAGAAGTCGGTTAGTATAATATATTACTATATTAATATCGGTATAGTGAATATACTTAATATATCCAATAGCAACTTATTTATAACCTAATGTTCCTATTTTACAATCATTTTGTCTTCAGATCATTGCTTAAATATACATTATATTATGTACTATAAACATATTATGTAGGTATGTTCGATTCATATAAATAATTTTACTTTTATTAATAATTATTAATACTAATTTCAGTGTATTTAATTTTAAAATGTATGTGTATTATTTAATGTAAAAGAAGGGAGTCGGTTGTTGTTGTGTGTGTATATAAGAATAGCTAAAAATAAATGCTGTTGAATTATTTACAGCCGAACATTCATAAGACATAGATAAAAAGATATTATTTGAATATTGTTATTTTCACGTAGAAAGAAAAATAGTCTAGTTATAGGTTATTTTTGTTGGTTTATGTTTATGGATTTTACTTTTTGAGCTGTATTAAATCAAATTTATTGACTAATTTACTTATTTTTTATCATTTGTTTTACGGTAGTGTTATTTTACGGTAGAATTATAGACAATTGACAAATAACAATTGTCTATAATTCTTACGTTATTATTGTAATTCATCAATTATCGTAAACTCGTAGGTATATTTTTGATTAAAATATTAAGAATAAAAAAAAAAAAATTATATAAATAATACATTTCTTTATTTCTGTACATCAGAGGTAATGTAATGCAAATCCAATTAATTATACCTGCGAATATATTATCACGAATTGACTGAAATCTGTTTTAACATGTTATTATGCAAAATTAAATTCTACTAATTACATGAAAGTTGTACGTGAACCTTTGTGTAATTTAGAAATTAAAAATAGTTTATATTTCGTATTTTAAAAGCAAATACCTCACAATGTATGAACTGCCAAGATTATGGCCATACGCGTTCTTACTGTCACAGTACACCTAGATGCGTTCGTTGTGGTGATCAACCACTTGTACGAAAAGCAAGGACCTTCCAGCTAAATGCGCCCTTTGTTTTGGCGATCATTCAGCAAATTATCGGGAATGTCCAGCTCTTAAAAATCTCCAAACTTATCGCAACCGTCATTCCAAAGTAAACAACAACAAATTCTACGAAAATAATACTAATGTAACTACCCACCCCAGTCCAATCAGTGCCTCAGAAAGTCAAAGCTTCCCTATAACTACTAATTTATCCTAAGCTCAGGCAACTCAAAATAAAAACCATACTGCAAATAATAATCAACCGCAATTAGATTCTACTTCCCCACTAACTGCCCAACATACATCAATTATAAATGTCCTAAAAACATTAATCACCCCTCTCATAACACTTCTTACAAAAGTAATTGACAAAGTCCTAGACAAAAAATGACTTCAAACTCAATAAATCATGCCTCTTCCTTATCAATTTTCCTCTGGAACGCTATTGGATTAAAACAACATTCCATTGAACTTTTTTACCTTCTTTATCATAAAAATATTGATATTTCCCTTATAACTGAGAATCACCTATCCACTACTTTCAATATTAGCTTCGATGGTTACTCACTTATTAGAGCTGTTCACCCAGTCTGAAAAAGTCTGAAGACGGTTGAATACTTTTCACGAGAACGTTGGGACCCCTATCAATAGTTAATTCCGAGATAAATATTATGGTGTAAACTAAAAATTCTTCAAAATTTTTATTTTTATATTTTTTTAAATTCCATGAACTTTTATCGAATGCGATATTTTACAAAAATCTTTTTCTGGTTTTGAAAATCAAAATTAACTTGATTGGGATAAATGAAAAAATAATACGTTAATTTCAAGTTAATTTGTAAGGAAATTAGTTAAGTTAATAAGTTAAATTAATTTATCGGTAATGAAATAAATTAAGTTAATTTTTTAATTTGACTTAACATTTAACTTATTAATTCGTTCCAGGCTTGAAAAAAATGACCCGAAACAACCATTAGGTTATACGATTGATTATGATAATTTAAATTTAATAAGCATTATATGGAAAACTGATAAACCATTAATAGTCGTGACCCATGGATATATCAATAGGTATGACGACCAGGGAGCATATTCCATAAAAAATAGTAAGTTTTATGGAAAAATACGAGATTAATATTATATTATGATCGATATTAAAAATTAAGTGTCAAATCGAACTATATGAATAATATATTAGAAAAACTGTAATTTCCATAATATACCTGTTGCCGCGATGGGCGATTAAATAGTATTTAATTTAATGTCGCCTTCACGGCAGGGATGTAGGCTGCTCAAACTGCAGCACTACGGATATAATTATAAGAATAATAAATAATAATAATCAAAAGAAATAATATAAAAAATAAATAAAATGTATTGATAATATTACATAATTTTAAATAATTAACAGTATACAATATAACAATTATACCCCTTGGAGGCAAAAATATACAAATAAAAAATAATAAATAATAATATATGGCCTGTTTGACCCAACAATATAAAATTTAAAATAGAATGTAATAATAATCGAAAAAATATGCACTAATGCACTGGTGAACACGTCTGTTCACCAGTCAAATAAAACGAAACGAAATAATTCACGTGGTAGACCAATATTCACAATGTGACTGAGTCAGGTGGTGGATTTCATCCCGACGCGGGCCGCACCGGGGACGTAATAATAATAAAAAGAATACAATTAAAAATGCACGACCCGCGTGCGTGCGACCACCTAGCCTCAGTCACCACGTAGAATAAATTGTCTGCAGCCGCAAGACGAACAAGTAACGGAAACCACGATTCACAATAGCTGCTGGTAACCTTGTTGACTGCTCTGTAAGAGGAATGTAGATGAAATAACAATAGAATGTTCAAATGATATTTACCAGACAGCTAATTCACAAAATCACAACGTGGTTTCCCAACTGGAGACACGAAGAAATCACAAACGAAATCGGAAATGACGAGAGTGGCGATGTGCACATGAAGAACGTACGGAAGGAAGAGAGCGATGGTGTCGACGACATTCACCAAGAAAGCTACGGCCGCCAGCCACCATCTCCCTACGATGAAAGTCTCAGTGCCACCACACAAAAACGAAAAACACATGAGAACTTAATGAAAACTTGTGGCACTGAGAGCATGACTTTTAACATTTACGAAATATATATGAAAACGACGAAATAACGAACATTACGTAACGACGGCACGCACGTGCTGGGCAGTCAACACACAAAACAGCTGATGCCGTTGCCGACCGCACCGCA